TGTGTGTGTGTGTGTGTGTGTGTGTGTGTGTGTGTGTGTAGGGGGTACACTTGTGCCAGAGGACAGGTTCCTTAGAGTCAGGACTCCCCTTCATCCATGTGATTCTCCAGAGTCAAACTCGATTTCTGAGGCTCAGTGGCAAATGTCTTTACCTGCTTGGACATCCCACCAGCCACAGGGACGATTTTAAGCTTCCGTCCTAGAGGGAGGAGTATAGTCCTCACCTACCCATGAGAGAAATGAGATCCCCAGCAGAGAGGGTGAAGTCTGGGATGTGAATGCATCTGCCTGACTCCCAAGGCTGAGACGATTTTCTCTGACCTTGATGTCCCTTCTGGACAGGTAGGTAACAATTTGGGGCAGTAGCATATGCAGCTAGTCCTTGCATTTAGCAGTCTTTTGTTTTCTTTCTTACAGGCATCTCCTCATTTGTTGTTCTGCTTGTTGTATCCAGAGCCTGTAGATTCCAAAGATGAACCCCACAGATGTGGCAGACACCACACAGGATGAAAACGCATACAACAATTACTACCTCTACGAAAGCATGCCCAAGCCTTGCACCAAGGAAGGCATCAAGGCATTTGGGGAGCTCTTTCTGCCTCCTCTTTATTCCTTGGTTTTTCTGTTGGGTCTGTTTGGGAATTCCGTTGTGGTTCTGGTGCTCTTCAAATACAAGAGGCTCAAGTCCATGACCGACGTGTACCTGCTGAACCTCGCCATCTCTGATCTGCTGTTTGTACTTTCTCTCCCGTTCTGGGCCTACTATGCTGCAGACCAGTGGGTCTTTGGACTAGGTCTGTGCAAGATTGTGTCATGGATGTACTTGGTGGGCTTTTACAGTGGGATCTTCTTCATCATGCTCATGAGCATAGATAGATACCTGGCCATCGTGCATGCAGTGTTTTCCTTGAAAGCGAGGACTCTGACCTATGGAGTCATCACCAGCTTGGTCACGTGGTCAGTGGCTGTATTCGCCTCCCTCCCAGGCCTCCTGTTCAGCACTTGCTACACAGAGCACAACCACACGTACTGCAAAACCAAGTACTCAGTCAACTCGACGACATGGAAAGTCCTCAGCTCCCTGGAGATCAACGTCCTGGGGCTGCTCATCCCCCTGGGGATCATGCTGTTTTGTTATTCCATGATCATCAGGACCCTGCAACACTGTAAGAACGAGAAGAAGAGCAGGGCGGTCAGGATGATATTCGCCGTGGTGGTCCTCTTCCTGGGCTTCTGGACGCCCTACAACGTGGTGCTTTTCCTGGAGACCCTGGTAGAGCTTGAAGTCCTTCAGGACTGCACCTTGGAGAGGTACCTAGACTACGCCATCCAGGCCACAGAAACTCTGGCCTTTGTTCACTGCTGCCTCAATCCTGTCATTTACTTCTTTCTCGGGGAGAAATTCCGAAAGTACATCGCCCAGCTCTTCAGGACGTGCCGGGGTCCTCTTGTGCTCTGCCAATACTGCGACTTCCTTCAGATCTACTCAGCCGACACCCCCAGCTCCTCTTACACGCAGTCCACTGTGGATCATGACCTCCGAGACGCTTTGTAACCCTTGAACAGGGGTCATGTGGCCTTAACAAGCTCCCCACACCCCACACTTGCTCACCTTGTTTTCAGTAAGGGTCCCCTGAGCAGGTGTCTGGGGAAGACAAACAAAAATCACAGAAAGACGGCTTCTCACCCTGCAGCTCACTCTTTCTCTTTCCGTAGACAACTGCAGTCTGAAATGTGATCAGCTGGGCTGCGTTCGTCACACACCAGGTCTGTCTACAGGGAGAGAGGAACCAGGGGAGGCCTGAGAACAGAGTCTCGGTGGCCTTCTAGATTGCACTGAAGAACCTCCCCTCTTCCTAGCCTCCCCAGGGACTCTCCAGAGAGACTCAGAGCCCTGATGGGTGGAGGGAATCAACCCTTTGCCATGGAAATGAACCTTTGAATGAATCTTTGGTCTTTGTGGAACTAGCTAGAAGACTTTAGCATGCTGTCTTCCTCCTGTTTCTCTGGCAGTATTCCATGAAGCCTGATGTACAGAGCAATGAGGCTCTTAGATCTTGATTCTTTCATTATAGAGGGTTGTTGACTGAAGCCTGGCTGCAAGCGTAGGTGAGGAAGCACTCAGAGGATCCTGTCTTCACTTGAAACAGGCATTTAGAAGACACCTGTTGAAACCCCACACACAGCTTGGCTTGCTAATATATGTTTTAATTACAACAGGTGGTTTTTCAAGTTGGAGAAGAACTGAATCAGGGCAGAGAAGGGTGAAAGACCTTTGTAATCCTAGTTACTCAGTGCCTGAGTGAGACCAAAGGATCTTAGATTCAAGGATTACCTAGATAATGCCAAAACCAAAACCAAGCAAAACCCCAAAGTTTAGCTCTGAAAGGCTCTTGTGAATACCCTAAGTTCATCCTTTTTTTGTGTGTGTGTGAACTGTTACTGGGCATGGTGGCAAATGTCTCTAATCCCAGCACTTGGGAGGCAGAGGCAGGAGGATCTCTGAGTTTGAGGCCAGCCTGGTTTACATAGTGAGTTCCAGACCAGCCAGGGCTACATACTGAGACTTTGTCGAATGAAGGAAGGAAAGAAGGTTAATAAAGTATGACAATGTCTCTTTTAAAGTGTGTCATGTCATCTATTGAGATAAAAATAATCAGTTAAAAGTCATCACTGGTGGGTGTTAAAATAGCTATTATGAAGTTGAGCCAGGCTGTGGTGACACATGCCTTTAATCCCAGCACTCAGGAGGCAGAGGCAGGAGGATCTCTGTGAGTTTGAGACCAGCCTGGTCTGCAGAGTGAGTTCCAGGATAGCCATGGTTAGAACATTATTCTTACGATATTTCAGTAATGTATCATGTTATGTCATTAAGATAATTTGCTGTGTCTGTTTTTACTCAAGCCATTTACATTTTTTTTTGTTTTTTTTTTTGAGACAGGGTTTCCCTGTGTAGTTTTGGAGCCTGTCCTGGAACTAGCTTTTCTAGACCAGCTGGTCTCAAACTCACAGAGCTCTTCCTGCCTCTGCCTCCCAAGTGCTGGGATTAAAGGTGTGTGCCACCATCACCCCGCAAGCCATTTAAATTTTTATAAATTACATTACGTGTATAGGTGTTTGCCTGCATGCATGTTTGTGCACCACATGTGTGCCTGGTTCCTGCAGAGGCCAGAAGAGGGTGTTGGGTCCCCTGGAACTGGAGTTACAGATGGTTGCAAGCCGTCATGTAGATAGATGCTGGGAACTGAGTCCAGGTCTTCTGGAAGAGCAGCCAGTGCTCTTGCCCACCGAGTCATTTCTCCAGCCCCTTGTGACAATCTCACTGGTAGACTAGACTAGACTGTACTAGGACTAAGTGTGTAGCCAAGTTGGCTTTGACCCGTTCCCAGCGCTTTTGCTTCAGCCTCTCATGTGCTGGGATTGTAGGTGTGAGCCCCACATCTGGCTCCGTAGCCCGAATCGCTCAGAATTAAGCAAAAAGCTCCAACAGAGTCTGTGAGAACAGATTCCTCCCAAAATAAGAGCCAATCTGGAGAGATGCTGAGTTAAAAATGCTTCCATTAAGTTTGTACATTGTACCATTTGCTGCCTTTATAAAGAATGTATTTCTAGAAGTTTATCCTCTGAAGAGTGGCTTTAAGAAGGAAACTTGATATTGCCTTGATAGAGAACAAAATAAAGTTGTGTATTTAGCTGCACTAAGCCTTCGTTCCTGATCATGTCCGTGTGTGACCTTCTGGTGCTGGTGTGAGTCAGAGTTGCTGATCCACGTTTCATCGTGTGGCATAAATCCAAGGGGGCTAGCAAGACGGCTCAGCTGGTAAAGGAGCTTGCCACCAAGACTGATGTCCTTAGTTTAGTCCTGGGACCCACATGGTAGAAGGAGAAAAGTAACTCTCAAAAAATTGTTCTCTGACCTCCTTATCTGTGCCATGGCATGTGTGTATGAGTGAGCACACGTGTGTGTGTGTGTGTGTGTGTGTGTGTGTGTGTGTGAGAGAGAGAGAGAGAGAGAGAGAGAGAGAGAGAGAGAGAGGAGGCAAAACAGTTGGGTTAAAAGGAGACCTTGTAATGTGTCTGTCGTCTGTCCACTCCACCCCCGAGGAGATTGGCAGCCGACAGCTCTCAGACACTCTTCATGAATCGTCACTCCTGGGGACAGTTTGTATGAGTGGGGACAAGCATTTTCTCCTTGCCCAGTTTTGGGACAACTCTGAAGGATCCTAATAACTTTTGAGCTCCCCTAAGATTACCCAAGGCTTCTGTAGCACCCCATCATGACAAGTGTTTTTTGCTGGTGTTGCTCATGCCCATACAGGTGTTCCCAAGAAGGCTGCCCGGCATGCGGTTCCCTGCACGCTGCTTTTGGAACCTCAGGCTCTTTGCAGGGGAGGTGAGGGCCTCTCTTTGTCACCCTGAACATCTGCCATGCTTGATCCTGGCTCCTGCACTCTTCAGGCCCCAGATGACCTGCTTAAGCCCCAAGACATTTTCCCTAGGGCACTCCTCTGCCGTCTGACCCTGAGCTTGCCAGAGACGGCTCCTTGGCTCCTTCTGCAGCCTTCCCTCCACAAAATGAACTAGACAAACTGAACCCCCCCCCTCCTTTTTTCCCTCTGAGACAGAGTTTCTCTGTGGCTTTGGAAGCTGTCCTGGCACTCGCTCTATAGACCAGGCTGGTCTCAAACTCACAGGGATCCTCCTGCCTCTGCCTCCCGAGTTCTGGGATTACAGGCGTGGGCCACCACCGCCTGGCTTAACTGAACCCTTTTTATTTTCACAGCACTTCACTATTTTTTAAAAATTTCATTTATTATTATTTAGTGGGTATGGCAGCACTTGCTTGCCACAGTGTGTACACGACATTGAGAGGGTGACTTGCAGGAATCCCATCTCCCCTTGCTGTAAGTGGGTCCTGGGATCAAACTCAGGCTGTGGCTTTAGCTGTGCCTCCTCCCTGACTCACCAGTTTATTGTTTAAGAGTTCATGACAGTTCCAAATTCCCCTTTCAGAGCACCAGAAATCCACCAAGTACTTTCACAAGTGGAAACTCATTTCAGACTTTCGAAGAGGAGATATGGTCACTTTTATGATTCCAAGAATTGAGAGTCAGAAGCCTGGGGATGTGGCTTGGTGGGCAGAGTGCTTGATTAACATGAGTGAAGCCCTGGGTTTGGCTACATAAAAGGGGCACAGGGACATTGCCTATGAGGCTCAGCACTGGGGAGGTGGAGGCAGGAGAATCAGTTTAAAACAACAAGGCAACAACTTTCTGTTACGTGTGTGTGTGTGTGTGTGTGTGTGTGTGTGTGTGTGTGTGTGTGCCAGTGTGAGATTCAGAGGATAATTTGCAGGTGTCAGTTCTCTGCTTCTACCATCCCAAGGATGGAATTCGGGTCATTATGTCTGGCAGTACACCTTTGCCAGCTGAGCCATTTCACTGGCCCAGTAATCAGGAGTTCAAGTCATAGGCACCTACTCGTGGAGTTCAAGGCCAGCCTGGGCTACATGAGATGTTAGGAAAAAAATATGTTGAGGTTTAGGAAAACATATAATAACCTTGAATCTAACCAACTCCACCAACAGTAGCCACCATGTCCAGGTGTAGTAAAATGTATAAACAAAACAGGTAACTATTTTTCACTTCATGAACCAGCCTCCTCTGTCAGCCTAAGGCCTCTGCTCTGGTAAGTCCAGTTTCAGTTTATGTACACAGAGTCACGGACTCTAGCTCCAAAATCCCCCAAGTGTGTTTCTAATAAAACTTTATGTGACCAGGTTCAAAGACTGACCGAATCGTTCCAGGAGCAGTGGGCGGGTTTGGGTAAAAAAATGACCTCATCGAGACTTTTGATATGAACAGAAGTGCGAGAGCTGAGAGTCTGTAGTTTTTCCTCTAGGAAATTGTAAAATAAGATCAAGAAGGATACATTTAATAGCCGTAAATTCCTGTCTGTCTGTTTTTGTTTTTGTTTTTTTTTTTTTTTGAGACAGCATCTCACTAATGGATAATGGATAAGGCTAGCCTTGAACTCAAGACCCTGCTACCTCAGCCTCCACACGCTGAGATTACAGGTGCCATCCACCATGTCTGACTCATAAGGCACAGACTTACTTTAGTTTTTGAATTAAGGACCTCAGGCCTACAGACAAACTCTCTATCCTGAGCTGTTCCCTCACGTAGCTCAGAGGACACAAAAGGGTCTTTGTATAATCATGCGTCCGCTTATCATAGGACAGGAAAGATGATCCATGGAGAAAAACTTCTGACAGTGCTCAATAAAATTTTACTGTATCTCATTGCACACAGGAGACCTGTGTATACGCATGCGCCAATGTTCCTTTTGTATCACATGCTCAAAACAGGTATGCTTGAGATAAGATGGTAGTAGCCACCTGCAAACCCTTTAGTTGGGAGCTAGAGGCAGGAGGGTCAGGAGCTCAAGGTCATCCTCAGCTCTATAATTTGTTTGAGGCTAGCCTCAGCTATATGAAAACCCATAGCACTCCACCAAACAAATAAAACAAAACAAAAACAGGGCTGGTGAGATGTCTCAGAGGGTAAAGGCACTAGCTGCCGAGCCTGATGACTTGTGTTCAAGCCCTGGTGCCCACAAAGTAGAAAGAGTTGTCCTGTCACCTCCGCCTGGCACCGTGGCACACGGGTTCACACACACACACACACACACACACACACACACACACACACACACACACACACACATTAATAAGTAAAAATGTAAACCAAAAACAGGAAGTAGCTGCCACCTCAGACCCTGGGGTTTCACATAATATGAGGAACCTTGAAGTTAGAGGCTTGGGCAGGTCCATGGCCACCTCACTGCTGATGAACTCTTGTTTGTGAGACACAGGCCTCTTACAATGGGGAGTAAACACAAACTCACACTTGACACCGAGCAAGCCTGTGAAGTAGCTCAGGCTCCAGGCTCCAGGCTGCAGGCTGAGAGGGATTTAGGTTGTGTTTCTAGAGGTGGCCCCTAGACAGGAATCCCAGTGTGTATAGGTCTGAATGTGAAACGCTTCCTGGAGACACTGTACTTGAACGCTTGTTCCCCAGGGGTGCTGTTTGAGAAGCTTTGGACTTGGTGGTGTTTTGTTTTGTTTTTAGGCAGGGCCTCTCTATATGTCTGGATGGCCCAGAACCCTCTAGGTAGACCAGGTCTTGAAATCATAGGGAGCCTCCTGAATGCTGAGATTAAGGACCATGATGCCTGACTGAGATGGGTGTGTCTGTAGGAGGTGGAGTCTGTGAGGAAATGACTCAATGGAGTGGGGTTTTCAACCCTGGCCAGCTCTACATTCTGTGTCACTAAGAGGTGAGGAGATGAGGCTCCAGCCACAGTCAATCACCACCATGGAGTCACCCACTGCCCTGTCTCCTGTCAAGACAGGCTCTAGACATTCAATTCAGGAGCCCAAATAAATTCTTCCTATGCTAACTTGCTTTTCTTCCCCACTGAATTTCTATTGAGTTCTGGGGATCAAACCTAAGGCCTTCTGCTGGGTGTTGGTGGCGCACGCCTTTAATCCCAGCACTCTGAGGCAGAGGCAGGCAGATCTCTGTGAGTTCGAGACCAGCCTGGTCTACGAGAGCTAGTTCCAGGACAGCCTCCAAAGCCACAGAGAAACCCTGTCTCAAAAAACCAAAAAAAAAAACCAAAAAACAAAAAACAAAAAACCCCCCAAAAAACCTAAGGCCTTCTGCATGCTAGACCAGCACACTACCCCTGAGCCATGTCTTCTTTAGCTGCAAGGTGTGCCTTTTCATCACCAAGAGAGAAGTAACTACAGCAAAGGGTAAGGAATTTCCAGGCTGCTCTTCAGGAGAGGAAGATAGAAAAGTTAACAAAGAAAGGGCAAGACAGTGAGCCAGGAT